CATTGAACCACAATGCTGACAAGTAATTAATAAAAGTCAAAAGACCAAAGAGGTCACCTTAATACCAAAAAAAAAAAATTAAATATGTCATTTCTTTAACTGTGTTAATTATTCAACACATTCTTACTTAAATGATAGTTTTTTATCTTTTTTGAATGAAGTTAACTCCAAGAGCTAAATTCTCCTTTTCTCCATATCATTTATTCGTGAATTCATATTTTCGCAGCACTTTTGAATAAACAGTTGCATAAAGAAAATATTTAGAAGATTTTATTTTTGATACATTATACTGATCTTTTAATTTATCTAACACGGTTCGTAATGTCATCCTAATATTTTGACAATTTGAATTAATAACTAAAATGAAGTGATGCTGAAAATATCATTCTCTTTCATTTTCTTAATTCAGTTTATAAGTTTTTTTTAAAAATATATCCAAATTTGTACAACCTGTGAGGACTTTTATAATTAAATTTTATTATTTTTTTTTATAAACTTTATCAAAAAAATTAGTTTTTTTTTAAGTCTTATTAGAAGTCGATAGGGTTATTCAGACTTTTAATTTGTATACTTTAATCGTGTTGGATAAAAAAAAAATCAATTAATAAAATCGCAAAAAAATAAAGAATAACTAAATACACCAAATATACCAAATCATTTTTTATACATTCAACTTTAACTTAGAAGGCAGTGATTGAAATCAATGGCTTAACCTGTCACAGATTATGGATGTGCATAATTTCATACATATTACATAATAAAATCTTTTACCTTAAAACTGCATTAGCAGAAACTGCTAACATATTTATAACTGTATTAGCAAGAAATACATAATTTTCACTTATTTAATTACATATATATGTATTTTATTTAAAAAGTGTGATTTCTAATTCTATTCAAATTCACTTTTTTTTTTTTATATGGAAGTGACCTTTTTTATACATATTGTTATTGCAACTAGAGGTTAGAAAAATACTAAAACTAATGATATCGAAGTAGAAAAAATCTTATCAGACTCAAATCACAACATTGGTTGAATATCGATATAATAATGCTGCATGGTCAACATGATAAGATATTACTGTAACAGAAGGCCAATTTTTTATTTTTTGGTAGGTTCCAGGTTTGTTGCTGTTTTTTAGCATTTAGAGCTTCAGTGCAAGTGAGGGTCTCGGCAATAAGAGGCTGTTTTAGGGTCTTGTATACTTCAAAAAGTTTATCATTATTAATATTTTCATTTATAATTTTTACTAATATCTCATATACTTTCATATTTTCATTTAGTTCTGCTTTTCTGCTTTTTATGATTGTATGTTGAGCTGAAATAAGAGTTCTTATATTACTATTAGGTATTCTTTCCGATCTTTCAGCCTCTATATTATTATTTTGGAAAGCATTATTCTATGGATTATTATCAAAGTTAATAATTCTCAGAAGGCTTAACATACTGAATGCAATAAGTGAATAATCGTGTCATCTTTGTGTGGTGAGGAATCTGGAAAAAAAGCTAGGATTTTCTGTGGTGTATTTTTTTATTAGATGTTTACATATTAGGTAGGGGCTTTGTATGAAAGTGGAACATGAGCAGACCTAGATATTTGTATTAGTATAATATCTGACTTCTGCATTCATGTCTTTTTCTAAAGAGACTTTCAATCATGTTTAAACAAATCCCATCATGATGAAAGGTCGCAATTATAGCAGTATCTTCACCAAGTGTATTTCATATCAGGTACTAATTCTTTTATAAGAATTTAAGTTAGGCGATCAAGACATGGCCAATTGCAATTGTACTTATAAACATGCTTTAAAACATGCCAATGTGATTTGGTGATCATGATAGTTCTGGCTATCAGCATGGCTTTAGAGTAGGATGCTTGGGCAAAAAGCATCCAGTCCTTCTTGTTGTACCAGTTAATCTATAGATACCTTCATAGCTTAGAGAGATTCTTTTGTTGACAAAATTAGTAGGTTTCTAAAATGCTTTGATGATAGATTTGTTTTGTTGTAAGAAAAATATTTTTGTTTACCAGGATAAGTGGATGTAATATTGCATGTTTCTTAACTATTCTTAGTATTTCAGTTATAAATTCTTCAGGACATAAAGCATTTTGTTGTCCATTTGGAAGCCAGGTTGGATCGATAAAGGCAAATTGTTGATGTGCCTCATTAGCTTTTTGTACAGAATATTGGCTTCCATGGGATTTTTTTCTTTTAATTTACATTCAATTGCACATTCAACATGCCAAAGGCAAAGCTAAATTACTGATATCTGAGACCATGCATTCTGAACAGCAGAAATTTCACCAGAGTCTTTGTCCAGAAGCACAAATGATGGTAAGACTCCTTCACTTCTCAAACTAACAAAAAATTCACTAAGTAACTGACCTGGATGTGTACAACATTATTAGGATCTGAAAGACACTCTTCTGATGCTGCATATGTATCTATATACAAATACACAAATGGAACACCATAACCATCACAATTGATATTTACTGAAAATAATTCGAACCATTCTTAATTCATTTTAAATATCAAATTAATAATAATTTCACTAATTTGATCTTTGTTCAGGTTATGAAGGAATGGGGTTGTGAATCCAAGGGAGCATACAAAATCATTCTCCTGATATTGAATGACTTTGTATTCTGCATTCTCTAGCTCCTTTTGTTCTAGGAAATTTTTTGCTGACTTTACTTGATTGCCTATATCAGTTACGTATAGCTTTGCTAAAAGCTTGTGTACCCAATAATAAACTTGCTGGTAAGTATGTTTTGTTGGGTCGATTAGATTTTCATCGCAAAGTCTTTTATAAAAATCAGCTCTTCATGAGCTGTAATTGATGTGTTGTTTTATCCAAGCTATAGCACTCACCGGTAGATTTGTCTCTCTATATGTAGGATGCTCATGTGCGATTAGGTGCTTTATTGATATTTTAGCATGCCTCTCACATAGGTCTATTTTTATTGTTATAGTACTATTGCATGGATAGCATTCTATAGCAGGCTGTACTTCACTTACTTTTTTAATAAGTTGTTTATTTGATTTTGTATATTTATGCTCAAGCTTTTGTGTGCAACCTAGGTGGGCCATTGCACATTCTATATATTGGCTATTTTTTTATTAATATACAAATTTCAATGCTCCCAATAATATCCTAATCCTGTTTGAAGAGGCATAACCAGGACATCAATAATTTTACGAAAATTTTTGGATTCATTATATTGATTAAATTCAGGCATTAATGCATTCTCATTAACTAATTCTTTTTCAATCTTTACTTTTACAGAAAATTCGATGTGGTTATTTTTTACTTCATTATTTTTAAAGTTAGCAGATACTAATTTTTCAATATCATAAAAATCATAAACAAGTTCGTCTTCATTATTTTCATCAGCATCAATTTCAGTTTCATCAACATTGTCATTATTTAAGGTCAAAGATGAAATACTTTCAGCATTGGTGGCTCTGGTATTTTTTCTGCTTTGTCTATCCTGTTTATTGCAAGGATTGCATCTGGCAAATTTTAATATCTTATTTCTGCTTTGCCTTGTAAATTCAGTGACTGGTTTAGTTTTTTTGCAGTGAGAACAAAATTTGGTTTCTTCAGCATTATCAATGATATTTTGAGTATCCATTTTTCTTTTATTTTATTTGTATTTAATGAGTTTATTTTTACAGTTTACGAATATTGCAATTCTAGTTTATGACTAAGGTTGTTAGAAAAGCGAAATATATGCTAAGAATTGGAATCCTTTCTCAGTATTTATATTTCCAATTGCACTTTAATTCCCTTATAATAATGATGTGCAAGTGGTCATGAATTATTATTGCATCTATCGTAAAACAAATGCCACATGTTTCGATTATAGTTGACAGCAAAAATTGTTGATTGCGACAATGTTATGCTGTGATTCAGCAATTTTTGCTGTTAATTATTATTTCCAATGATCATGAAATTATTATGCTCATGCTATACTATTTCTAAACAAAACAGAAATTTCACAAACTGCCACAAAATGATTATGTTTACATGATATCGTGTCCATATGAATTTCAGCAACATGGTAATTATCCAAACAAGTTAATTGAATAATAAAGCACTTAATGGCGATAGTAATTTTAGTAATTTTAGTAGATACTATTTACTTCACGATAGCATAAATATTATGTTCTAGAGTAGAATTGCACAAAGATTGCTTTTAATATGAGGTTTGCAAATTTAAATAATCTTGCAATCTTATAAAAATAATTCAAGTAAAAAGTAATAACAATTGCTGGCTAACTTTGTACAGATATCATTTATAATTTCATTTATATAAAATAATAAAAATTTACTTATGTTCATACTTTTTAATAAAGCTAAATTGCATAAGATTATATAGTATAAAAACTTATTGAATGCATATGCTAAAAACTTATAGTTAATAAAATTTTGTTGCATATAAATATCGACAAATTAATTATATTTCATTATTTAGCTATATAAATTTATCGTGACTAGACCCTTTTTTGAATAATAATTTAGATTAGTAAATGTCTATTCAAATATTTGCCGAATTACTATCATCTGGATAACTATAAATTATTCATTCTTGGACATAAAGCAGCCAATAATTGAAGTTTTGTATAGCAAATAATAGAAATTATTTAAATAAATTTTCTTATTCGAAATAAATTTTTATTCGTATTATTTGTCAAATAATTATTTGAATGACGAAGTTCTAATCGTAACACAGATCTGAGTCGATCGAAGATCGTACTGATCGGTCAGGTCGGAAAATTGATCATTGATCACGTGATCATGACATTTTTCTGTCATGACTAGTCTAGTACTTAACAAACTTATATTACAAGTTGGTAGCAGTAATATAGAAAGATGCTTTAATACCAACATACTTCTAAATCAAATTTCTATACATTGAATCAAAGAATGACTTTCTAAAATATGGATGCCATCTTTATTTCAAGATACAATACTTAAAAATTATAGAAAAACTTCTAATTTTACTATAATATTACAACTATTTTATCTTTATAAAAATAATATTTCTCTTAACAACTCACTACTTTACTAGTTAACAATCAATAAATAAACTAATTAACTAAACAATATTTACAACTTTATTTCACTTTCAGATAATCCAACAATATTAAGTCTTAAAAACAACAAATTTTTTTTTCTTAAACAATTACTTATAACTGATAACTGTAACCTACTTTTCTAAAAAAATATCTATCTTAAAACCTATAAATCTTCTCAAGGTCCTATTCCAAACTAGTTCAAAATACTTTCAAATAAAATATCTTCTTCTACTATTTAACATATGGCCTAATCTGCAACTCAAACCAATTAATCCATTTCTAAATGCACTTAACCTAATTACATCTCAATACAACAGTCTTAAAATACACAAACACTTTACATCTCACCCAAAAACTGGCATATTAGCAAAATAATAAACACACTTAATTCTAAATAGTTCTTTAAAAATACCAAATGACTATAACAATACCTAACACAATTCATATTTTTTTAACATCTATAAACTTTTAACTAAACTATAAACAAACTATCAATTTTAAATGCAAAATACAAAAAAGAAAACACTATTTCAAACTCAATATCAATATTCAAGAAATCCAAGCACTTTAAAACATACATGCAAAATTATATAAACCAGCTCTGCAAACTCTTCCTACACTCTTACAACCCTTTTCAGAAATTCTCTTAATCCAAAATATAATACTGTTAACCTATAGTTTTTCCTTTAACTATAGTGATATTAGAAGCTGCTCAACTATAATATGATGACTATAACTTAACTGATTCTATACAAAAATCTACACAAGACTTAACAAAATACAGAGTAATTTGGGATTTTAAGGCAGAGGCAACAATAGATAGTATATGAAGATA